CGTATCCTCTTGGGGGCTGTCTGAAGCAATATGGCTTCGAAAGCGCGGATAACAACGCGTGCGTTGCGAAGGTTTCTGATTGTGGTGGCCTGTGGCCAGTGCCGCCGATCCGGGGCGCTCCAGATGATGATGGTGATGATGGTGATGTGACGATGGTGATGGTGATGGTGATGGAGATGGTGATGATCCCGCCCCACCCCCCTCCCCCCCCGTCTCTCCTTTCCCCCCCCCCTCTCTCTTGTCCCCCCCCTCTCTCCTGTCCCCCCCCCCCCCCCTCTCACCTTGCAGAGTGCCCATCTGCAAAGCTGACCCTCCCGCCGTTCCCTGCAGTTCCCGCTCCCGCCTGAGAGGACCCCCCCCCTTTGCAGCCCCCCCCTTGCAGAGCGTCCCCCCCCTCCCCCCTTTCTCTTGCCCTCACCCTTGCAGAGCAAAACTCGGAGGGGGGGGGGGGGGCGAAATCGAAGGGGGGGGGGCTGGCAGGGGGGGGGGGCAGGTGCCGAGCACTGAATTCGACAGTTGATGAGGTCCCCCCCCTCCCCTCCTCCCAAGCAGAGCTAAAGCACATGCTGAAGCAGAGCTTCAGCTTAGACTTCTTAGGCTCACACGCCGGGTCGGCGGATTTCGTGGACGCGCAGAACGCGTAACTTATTCGGGATCGTCTCTACGGGGACGCAAATACTGCGTACGTTACAAGAAAGTGTTGCCTCGGAGACGCGAGTATCGTATAACACATGAGGACGTATGGCCTCGGGAGAGCGAACACATAGGAATTTGCAAGGTGTCATGGCCTAGGGGACGCGAACCATGTGCAAATCGCACGAGATTGCGGCCACGGGGGCGCGAGCGCGGCGTGACTAACAAAAGACATGTTTTCGTGAGCGCGAATATAATGCAAGTTTACGTGTTATGTGGTGGTAGCCCAAGCCCTTTTCGTCCCCCCCCCCCTCCGCGCGGATTTCAACAGTTCACAATAGGAAGCAGAAAGCAGGATTAGAACATTGGAGACTGGAAACTGGGACTGGCGCAGGGAGCAGCAAGCCTAATATGTGCAGCTTGGTGGCCACAAGGGGGCCGGCGAGTCGACAAGGACATTCGCTGCAGAGAAGCTCTCGATGCGCACAAATGTTTGCATAATGTTGCGAACATGACCCGCGTGACCGCAGGTAGGGCCCGAGGACACCCTGAAAGCCGAGTTGTCCAGAGCGAGCTCCCAGTTTCTGGCCGCGTGATGCCTAAGCCTTGACCGAACCCTGTCCCAGACCGAGGCCGGCACAACGCGCTTGGCCCCGCCTGCAGGCGCACGCTGCCCAGGGTAAAACAGTAAAAGAGTCCAGACGTCCAGGACTTCGGGATCGGGCCCCCTTTTTAAAGTAGAATGCCGATGAACGCTTGCTAGTAAGAGACTGGCAGCCGGAGCAGCTGGCGCGGATGAAGACGGTCCCAACCTAGCCCTGCTCCAGAAGGATAAGACTTCATGGCTCCGTCAAGAAATCTACGGGTGATTCCAGGGTGCGCATCCTAGAGGTCCAGGGCCAGAAACATTAAGCCCCTGAGGGCCAACAGTACAATCAACGCAAGACAAACGCTCGCTCATGTCAATGCTGTGCAGGCTCGCGATCGCGAGTCTAGGAGTGCTATGTGGAAAGCGCGGGCCAAAGCAGCGGCCTCCGAGCAGGGCGGCCGCGCGGCGAATCGTCACGTCCGAGAGCCCACTCCCTCCACCCAGATCCTCGCCCCTGGGGATGATGACAAGCCACCGAAGCCAGCGTTGGGTCAGCAATCGGTTGACTCAACGTTGCCCAGCCAGCACTTGCACGCCGATCCAAGGTCCGTAGCTGCTGACCGACTTCCCAAGCCAACTCATCAGGCTGCGCCTCAGCAGGGGCAGGGCGAACTGGGAGAGTCGGCCACTCCTAAGAAGCCGTCCCCCCCCCCCTAACTCCCCTGCGCGCCGCCAAGAGGGGCTTCTCGATGGGGGACTTCTTTGGACACACCACTCTCGGTGCAGTGGCTCCCCGGGGAAGTCCCGTGGAAGTGATGGCGATGGGTATGTGCGTCTTGGCCGCGTAGCCCGGTGTCGGACCTGCAACATTAGGTGGGGAGCATCATGGCTTTCATCGGTAAGCTCGAAGGACCCTGGCTGCTCTTGGGAGATTGGAACAGGCTCCCTGATGAACTGGAGGAGTGGGCCAGGCAAGCCAAAGGTAGGATATGTTCGACCAGGGAGCCGACGTGCGCAGCCATGGAGACAGACTTCGGCATTGTCCCAAACGCGATCGCCCCTTGCATTTCCAAAGTTGAAGGTTCCTCTTTGGTGCCGGTGTCGGGGAGCACCGTCTTGGCTTGCCCATGATTGACGGCCTGGTCGCTTTGACCGAGGTATTTAAAGTGCCTCTGGTGGATGTCGACCTCCGCCTAGTGATCAGCTCGCGCTTGCTCAAGAACCTCTCCCGCCGCTGCGACCCTGTCCTGGGCGGCCTCGAGCTGCTTCTTTTTGCGGGGTGGCGCTGTGTCCTGGGGCCTTGCTGGACAGGTCAGTAGGCCGATCCCTGCTGCCAGTCCTGCCCCGACCACCAGTCATCCCAGCTGGCCCAGCGGGGCCAGGTTGAACGAGGAGGTCCTTTGCGCCATTGCCCCTGGAGACGAGGCTGTGGCCCTGACGTGTGCTGTTTTTTTATTGAATCGCTTCGCTCATTCCGCCGGCCCGTGATATGGCATCGCTGGTTTTTGTCTGTGTGTTCGTTGCCCATGTTGCGCTCTTGGGGGCGGGTGTCGTTCGGACGCGTTGCGTGGGGAGTTTTGATGGTGAAGCAGCTCCCTGGGGGTCGTCTCTCGATGGGGCGAAATAGAGTCGTCGTCAAGATGCTTCTTTGGGGGGCCTCTTGGGGTCTGTTGAGAGGCCGTTCGGGGGCGCCTGGGAGACATGTTTGAAGCCTTCTGGGGCTTCTTTTGGGCCTCCTGGGAGTCTCCTGGGGCCTCTTGGCGACATCTTGGGGCCTCTTGGAGGCCTCTTGGGGCCTCTTTGGGACCTCCTGGGCGCCTTCTGGGACGGAGGGCTCCATTTTTGAGTTCTCGGTATCCCTCCTGAGTCCCTCTTGGGCCCGTCTTGGGGCCTCTTGGTCCGTCTTGGGCGGCACTGGGGCCGTCTTGAGCCGTCTTGGGAGCTTCGTGGGCCGTCTTGGAGCGGTCTTGGGGGCCTCTTGGGCCGTCTTGGAGCGTCCGGAAGCCGAAAAAGCCAGAACACAAAAAACATCGAAAAAACCAATGAAAATCAACGATTTTGGCCTCTTGGGGCTCTCTTCGGAGGCCTCTTGGAAGGCTCTTGGGGCGTCTTGGAGGCCTCTTGGGCTGTCTTGGGGGCCTTTTGGGCCGTCTTGGGGTCATCTTCGGCGTCTTCGAGCGCTCTTTGGGCGTCTCGGGGGCCTCTTGGGCAGTCTTGGGGGCCTCTTGGGGCACTCTGAGCGCGCTCTGGGGAGCCTGAGAGGCCGCACCCAGAAGGAAAACCATCTCTGAGTAGACTTGGTCGGGCGGCGGTCGGGCGGCGACCGGGCGTTGGTCGGGGTACTTTTCGCCGGGGGACCCCCAGGGGCCGCCCCGCGCGCGCGAACTAGAAATACTGTTAATACTGTTAACCAGTTACTGGAGATCTTAGCACGCCCTGGCCCGTTGGGCCGGCGAATTGAGCACATGCTCCGGGGCTGCTTGCACTCTGCACGGAACCCGAAGTTCTGGAAGCGGCATCTCTGGTCCTTTTGCGTCCACGCTCTGGCATGCTGGCCATCGCTGCAGCCCCCTGCCATGAAATATTGGAAAGCTCCGCACCGCAACGCCATTTCTAAGTTCGCGGCGAAAATGATCAAAGAGATCTGGAAACTGCGAGGGAGGAGGAGGAGGAGGAGGAGGAGGAGGAGGAGGAGGAGGAGGAGGAGGAGGAGGAGGAGGAGGAGGAGGAGGAGGAGGAGGCGGAGGAGGAGGCGGAGGAGGAGGAGGAGGAGGAGGAGGAGGAGGAGGAGGAGGAGGAGGAGGGGGAGGAGGAGGAGGAGGAGGAGCAGGAGGAGCAGGAGGAGGAGGAGGAGGAGCAGGAGGAGGAACATGATGAGCAGCATTGGCGCAACCAGACTCCATGAGCGCAGGGAAGCCGAAAAACTGGGGTGCCTTAGGCGTCGAGCCTGGGCCGCCCTCGGCTGAAAAAACATCAGAAAAGGGGCGCCCCGTGCCGCGGGGGCCCCCAGCGGACCCCAGCAGCCCCCACTAATAGGGCAGCCAGGGCCGACGAAACCCCAGGGCGGTGCGGGTCGCACTGGAGGCACCGTGCGGCGCACCGCCCTGGGGGCCAGGGGCCCCACGCGACAGCAGACGGGCCTCCGCCTCCCGCACCCCTCGCGCTCTCGGCGCTGGCGAGGGGTGCCTTCGCGCCGCGACTGCGGGCGTGTGAGGCCCGCCCTTCGCGCGCTGCACCCATCGCGCCCTCGGAACAGGCGAGGGGCGGCGCGTCGCAGGCCCGAGGGAGCCAGCGCCAGCCCGCCCCCCGAGGGGACCCCAGGGGGAGGAGGGACGCCAAGTAGGACGAGCTCAGGGACCCCGAGCCAGGGGGGGCCTGGCAACGGGAGGCATCCCGAGTCCGCCCAACCTGATGCCCACCCCACCCTCGGGGAGAGACCCCCAGGGGGCCTGGGCGCCCAAGCCCCCCCGCCGCCCTCCGCCAGTCCTGCGGTTGGTCGCCGGCTCTATTTTGTACCCCGCCGATACAGGCGGCGCCGACCACTTTGGGTTCCCCGGCTATCCCGGTGTGCTCACCGGGCCCCCGGCTTATGCGGGGGGGGAGGAGGAGGAACAGGAGCAGCAGGATGTGGAAGAGGAGGAGGAGGACGAGGAGGAGCGACAGGGAGCATGGGGAAGAGGTTGGGGAAGAGGTGGAGGGGGCCAAAGAGTCGTACAGAGGACGGGGCTCCGCTCCCTCGCCCTAGAGCCCCCGCGGGCCTCTGGCCACCCACCCGCAGGCGAAGCGGGACGCGATGCTGCACGCGACGCGGGAGCTCGAGGTGGAGCTGGCGCGGGCGCACCGGGGCTCCCAACATTTTCGGCATCGCTCAACCAATCTCCATCCCCATCCCTACCCCCTTCGAGACCCCCACCAAATGGCCACAGTGGGGCCCAGGCCACGCCGCTGGTGATGGGGATCGGTTAAACGATACTCACATCTTTCAGGAGGGAAAGAAACACACAGACACAAGTAATCGTCGACTCCGGAACACATGGGAAAATTCGGGAAGTGGGGGGGGAGACGAAAACCCAGAAAATATGGGAAAATATGGGGAATCCTGTTATTTGTGTGTATTTCGTTGTGTGTCCCAGGGCCCCTTCAGTCCTGCCTCGGGCGGCGGGATCCACACGCACGCCCACCGCCCCCCGCCAGGGCCCCTCCTGGGCCGAGGATCGGTGCGCGTGCCTCCCTGGCCCAGCCACGGGGGCGCACACGCCGCTGCTGGCCTGTCGGGCCTGTCCCTCCACAGGAGGAGTATTCCAAGATAGTCTGGGGACGATTGTTTGGCTATGTCTTCGCATGTCTTGGCTACTCCTGACTCTTCGCCCAACATCTGCCTGCAGGGGGGCATGCCCGACCTCAGCGCAGGGGGCCCGTCGCCCCGAAGGGAGCGCGGGCCACGCCGCCTCTCCCTCCGCGCCGCGGAGCGGGCGAGCTGCGCCGCGGGCGGCCCGCAGCACGTGGCCCCTGCGGCCCGCTTGCCCGCGCCGGGCCAACGGCGCCCGCGCTGCGAGGGCCCGTCTCGGGAGGCAGAGGCCCGGCCTGCGAAGTCCGAAGGGTTCCTCGAGCCGGCGGGGTTCCACCAGGGGTCCGAGGTTGATTGCAATGTCATGCCATCGACGCCCTCTGCACGCGCGCGGGGGCACAGTAGGAGCTTGCGATTTTGCTGTACCCCGAACGCGGCTGGCGATCCCACAATTCCCGCCGTGTCTCACTAACGTTTCTGGAATGGCTGGAAGACCATGCCGCGCTGGGAAGAGAGCGCGCGCCAGCAGCGAATGCAGAGGCCCAGACATGCTCGCGCAGTGGGAACACCACGACGGGAGGTCGCTGGCCGTGTTCGGCCTCAGGGGGGCCCTCGCCGGGCCCCTGGAGCCGGCCCAAACGACTACGGATGCAAACGCGGCACCGGGTAACGCGTCTGGACAGCCACGGGCCCTTCTGGATGCAAAGGCGGCACTGAGTAATGGCCAAGCAGTGGCAAAGCGCCTATAGGCCGACCAAAACATGTTCTAAGAACCCTTTGTGGTTTGCACGAAATGGTCTTAGAACATGTCTGGCTGAGTCTGTCTTGTTCGGGCTTATGTTCTAAGAACGTTGGTGAACCTATGGAAATGCCGGGACGGTCGGTCCCTGCTCAAAATGAATCGGGACTTCCGGGGACCCTATATCCTATGTGGAAGGAGTTAAGACATCGAATGTCGCAGGGGGTCATTTGGAGATGGCTCCTCCCCTGCCCCGTTCGTTTTCGTTCCTCCCTGCTCCCCTTCTCTCCCTCCTCTTCCTCCTCCTTCTTACGTCCTCCCTGCCTCCTTCCTAGGCTCGAGCCGTAGCCGCAGCCGTTTGCCCCTTTTCCTTCACACGCTCACGGCTCGGGCCCAGCGCGCCACTTGACCGCATCTCCATGTAAGAGGCGCGAGTCGGAAGCTCCCCTTTGCCTTCTCCGCCTTGGCGGCCAGTGGTGCCAGCGCCGCACCGGCGCCTTTCCCTGTGTGGCAGGGTGCTGCGGTGCCGCCTCCGCCTGCACCGCCGCCTCCCCCGGATGCTGCGCCTCCTCTGCCTCCGCCACGGCACCCGCCGCCGCCCGCACCACCCGCTGCTCATCGTCTGGCTGAGGGACACGCTGCACGAAGGCAACCACCGGGCATTCTCGGTGTTTCCACCGCTCCCCATTGATGCAAGAAGCATACACGTCCCGAGATGGACCTGCTGCTTCGTTGCCAGTTCCGTTCCGTTCCTCCGCCGCGGCCAGGGAGTTTCGACCCCGAGGCCTGCACGGCCAGGGCCTCGCGTGCCGCAGGACCACCTGTTGTGCATGTATTCGATCGCTGGTGCAGTTCGACGTCGGATCAGTCCTTGACGCCCGCGACACGACTGCATGTGACAGCCAGCGAGCTGTGGAAGGTGATGCCCCCCTGTCTGTCTCAATGGGACGCCCCCGATCGATTCCACAGGCGAGCCCCGCTCTCCTAAAGAGGTAGTTGCCAGACGCCGTAATTGTTCCGAATGCCCTTACTGTTGGCAGCGCAGACAGCAGGCAAACGCGTTCCGACGATCAACTCCAGCAGCACTCTCGGTCCCAGCCTTCCGCGGTGCCTGGCGACCGACAGTGTCGGGCAGAGCCGACATTCGCGCCCTGAGGGGTGGCGCTGATAAGCCAGAGCAAGCTCGGCTAGACATGCAAGCAGTGCTGCCTAGCAGCTGCGCCGATGCGCAGCCCAGGCGTCCTGCGCAGGAGCGGGCTGCTCCCACGCCAGAGGAGCACTGGCTGCCTGAGAGTCACTGCGCTGACGTGCAGGCTCATCAGGAGCTGCTCGTAGGGGACATCCGCGCATACCTCCAGGCCAGGCGTCGTGGAGCTTCCTTTGAGAGTGCTGTGCTATTCGGCGCGTTGCCCGAGCCTGAGGGGCCTCCATTACCCGCGCGTGATGCTTCCCAGGCCCTTGCTCTGCAGCCTCTAGCATTGCGCAGCCTCCCATTAGCACATCGTGCAAGAAGAGGCCATTGCCCTTCTTGCGAGCAGATACTGCGCGATTCCACTGTCTCAAGTGCTCTCCCATTCGGCCACCAGCGTGCCATTTCTACGGACACAGTGGTCACGATGGACGCTGGCGCAGTGCTAAGATGTGCAAGGGAAACAAAGGATTCCAGCCCTGCGTTTGTTGTAGTGAGGATTCTTCTCCACAAGGGAAGGATGTTATGATAGCCGAGTTCGATCGCAGATCACAGAAGTTTCCCGACAAGAGTGGTTCAGTATTGATTGTCCGCCTTTGCATTGCAAGCCTTGGTTTGCTTAGCTGCCCTCTGCAGGGGCTGCGTTCCTACAGGTATCCTGACACTGACTGTGTTGGCCCAGGCCTCGCTGTCGCAAGTGTTGTGTTGTTCTTCTCTCACTTCCTGTGTCCTTCCTCCTGGCTGGGTGAGTGCACGCCAAATGTAGCCTTCGAGCCTCCCATGCCTACCTCCCTGGCCGGCTCTCTGAAGCCTTCAATCACGGTGACGGCCGTCATTCGCACAAGGTGTGGTGTCACGCTTGGTTCAGGGGCGCTCGCCGCCAGGCTTTACTGCACACGTTGCTCGCTTCGTCTGTGTTTTTGTTCTACAGGCTGACGATGAGCCTGCATCCCGATCGGATCCGATCCTCCCTCCCTCCTCCCTCCTCCATCCCCCCTCCTCTTTCTTTCGCCTCCCACTTTTCCCCTGGCCCCTGCTTCCCCCAAGGCCCCACATGAGGGCCTCTGTAGGACACGAGCACGGCGACACCGCCAATGCCACCGTCCCTCCTCCATCCCCCCTCCTCCCCCCCCCTCCCCACCTCCGCCTCTGCGCGTCGAGAAGCAGGTGGCCACGCCGAGCATGGGCCCTGCCATGCAGTGCGGGCTCCAGGTGGTCAGCGCCCCGCCAGCAACGGTCGCCACCATGGCGCGGATCGTGAGGGCAGGCTGGGGAAATACCTCACCGGCCACCTGCGCCCGGCTGGCCTCGCAGCTGGGGCGGACGCCGCATCGGCAGCCCGAGTGCACGGCCACAGTGGAGCCCATCTTCACGTGGGCTGAAATGGCGATGGACGGCGTCGTCTCGCATGAGGCCTCGCCAGGGCGTGGGCGCGTGGGCAACGCAGGAGCGCCTGCTGAGGGCCACGCGAGTACCGTGGAAAGTGGAAGTTCGCCCTCCAAGGGGGGTGATCATGTGCCTCAGGAGGCTCAACTGGCGGCATACCAGCTTCACGAAGTGGGCCACGGGCACGGGCATAGTGCTCGACATCACCTCGTTGGCGCCAACTTGCGTGCGCAAGGTTGCTCGTCAGGCTTTTGTCAACGTCAAGTGGGAGGCGCGGGCACGCGACCTCGCCGTCGTTTCTGGCTTGTCCCTGAACCTGGGCAAGACCGTTTTCGTCTCCCTCGGCGACGCCGCGGGGGAGGATTTCCGGCGCGCTCTAGGAGATCATTTTCCTTGTTGGGGCGCCGCTTGCGTAAGGGATTGGGCGGAGTATCTCGGATTCGTGCAGGGGCCCGGCGGGCGTGCGAGGGTTTGGCGCAAGGCGCTGGACCAGTACGCGCGCCGCGCAGACCTCTGGGCGCAGCTCGGGTTCGGCTTGCACTACACCGCTGTAGCGTACAACGTGTACTTACCCTCGTTCCTGGCTTTACTCTTGCAGCTCGATGTTCTCCCAGATGAGTAGGAACGTACTGAAGCAGCAACCTTTCGTCGGTTAGTGCCTGGCTCGGCCAACTGGATAGTCCCTGCCGATATTCATGCTTTGCGGCGGCATTACCACATGCCCCATGGTGTTCTCTGACATGCAGGAGGTGTCGGTGCCTGCTCGTCTTCGGGAGGTCTACCCGGATGCAGGCGCCTCGGGCGGCCTGGCACCAGACGACGTTGTTCGCCGCTTGAGCTCTGCTTGCACGGGACGGAGTTCCTTTGGCGATATACTCGGCGGGTCTCCTGGTTCCTCCAACAGTGAGTGCCGCGGTGTTGCGCACGTGGTTCTATGGATGGTGCACGGCGCGTCGCTTCCAGTCTCGCAGCCGCTTCGGGTGCGCCATGGGCAAGGACGCTGTGGAGCACTACATGGGCTTCACCCGACTGCATCGGCACGGGCAGCGGCGGCTTCGGCTCGCCGCCCCACCGACCTTCGAGGACCGCGGGTTGAATTTTGTCCTGCTCGAGGCGGCCCCCCGGCTCCAGGATGCAGTTCCTGTTCGACGTGTGCTTCTGCACGCTGCCGCCTATAGGCTACATAGCCGGATGCGCCGTAGCCCGCCCATTTCTGACGAGGACTTGTTACCA